CTATAAGATTAGAAAGCAACAAAAATATAACCATTAAATACGTTAGATAGAGACAACAATATCGCTTTAGCCTTAATTAATTATAATGGGCTGCATCTATCGGTGGCATTTTATTTTTGTTCACACGAAAGTTGGATTCCACAAATTTTATTTCACACTGAATTTAAAATTTAAAACTAAGGTTTACAACTTTAGTTCCTATACTCTGTTTTGTCACATTTTAATTAGAATAAAGTAAAATTAATTTTTACAGTAAATACTTATGTAGAAATTGCTATTTTATATTTCACAATTAGACCAATTACCTAGTTCTCTAGTTTACAGGGTACTTTATCCTGTGATGTGTGTGAGGAATGAAGAGAAAAGAATACTCGAATGTACAATCCACTACACCCAGACCAGGTTCGTTTCCCAAATTGGTCCCGCTGAGAATCGAATCTGTGACCTCATTACATTGACATGGAAGATGTCAAGTTATTGTGTTAGTAGCGATCTGCCCCGGCTTCGCATGGGTAGATAAATAGAAAGATGAATTAGTATCTTCTATTAGTTGCAATAGGCCAATTTTTTTGATACCTTGAGTTATTTATTTATTTAAAATTTATTGACCAATAAAATATGGTACAAAAGGCAGACTTAATGATAAAGATATAACCTACTCGTATATTAAATTTAATACAAATTCATTTATCTATTTAATGTGGTTTTTTTCTTTTTCAAATTTACACATTTATAATATTAGTGAGTCAAGAAAGTATAATAGTTTAGTGTTATATATATTTAAACCCCCTTTGCAAACCTTAAAGGATGTGATTTCGAATTTCGAACACTACTAAACAGCAGGTCTACCATGAAATGAAATTCCGAAATTTCGGACTCAATTTCGTGCTTTTGTTTATATCAAAATCGGACCAATAAATGGAGTTTAACATTTCGTTCGTCATACATCCTATCATAAAAGTCAAAGGAACAATATTTTAACTTTTTTATTATTTCCAAACGGCATATTATGTAATTTTAACATCAAAATTCTGTTTCGTTTGGCTCCAAAATTTCGGAAAACATTTCATGGTAGGCCCTCTGAAGTAATTATAAGTAGGTGTTAAATATATTTTAACAAAATTATTATTAACATTGTTAATCCAACCACTACTGCGGCAGGATTACTCAATTAATCTCTCTCATGGCAGCCACAGAGTGTAATCTTTTCCAGGTACTGTCTGGAAAAAATTCTTTTAAAATTTTAATGAAAAACTATGACAGCATTAATTGCTGTCTCTTAAAAATCATAAAACATAAGTATTAATATAAAATTTAAAATCTTCAACAAAGTATTATTTTTTTTATAAATATATATATTTTTTTAAATGAAAGACTGGTTTCACTTGTCACTATCAACTTTTCCCCCTTGGGGGAAAGATTGGATTTTTTCCACCTGCCTTCCATTGTGTGATCAGTAGGGATTAATTAAATAAATATGCCACTTTTCCCTCTATTGGTATTGACTGGTAAGGTATACTAATGAGAATGGGGGGGAAAGGGATTGTTAGTTATGAAGACTGAGAATCCCATTGCTAGCAATATACCTAACCAAGTTGACCTCCTCGCGGTTCCCCCTGGAAACTATCATGGTTAATTCCTGATGAATTCATCATGATGGGCTAACTGGCCTGTTTTCATTCTCATCTATCACAGTATCGTTAGCGCAGGCGAGGTTACCATACTATTTTCACCCATCAAAAAAAAACTAATGAGAATGAGGGGGGAGAAGGTATTATTAGTAACGGAGATTAGCAGTCCCATTGCTAGCAGTATACCGGGTCGAGTTCCAAGTAGTTCACCCTGGAAATCATCGTGATTGATTTATTGTTGAATTTGTTACGTTGGGCAAACTGACCTGTTTCATCATCATCTATCATCCTTCACTGGTACTCAGCCAGTATATTTCGATAGTGCCAACGGGGTTACCATTCCATCATCAGTCATTAAAAACCATTGAGTATGAATTCAGGTTAATTGGTCAACCGTGATGATTTTACCTGTAATTTACGATGGTTTCCAGGGATAAACGCGTGATATATACCAGTAATGGGGCTGTCATAGCTCATTAGTACTAACAATCTTTTCCTAATAATTTCTGTAGCTTGATTATTAACGAGTACCTACTTACGTTTGTGACTATATTATACTCTTTTCAAACAAATGAGGAAGTTAACCGAGCAAGGTGTGGCCGAGTTCACCTGGTGTCGACTCCCAAATTGTAAAATAATCAGATAATTTTATTACCTACTTTTCAACATTTGTACAGCGCACGGCCCGTTCCGGCATTTATAAGTGCAAGTTAACCCCGGTGCACACTCACGTTTGGCCTCTCGCGCCTCGACGTGGGGCCGATAAGGCCCACAGTATATCTGGAGAATCATCACGCGCTGGACATTATAAAGAGAGGACAGTTCATGCTTAACCATAATCTATTCGTGTGACATCAGATAGGAACAAACTTATAATCTGTGTGCAAAATTAATGTTGAGTTTTTATTTCGGATTAATTTAAAATTTGTACGAATTGTAGAAAGTATTTGTCGAGCAAAACTTTATATATACTTTATTTGTACTAGTTACTTTCTCCAGTATCTTATTTGTAACCAAATAAATGTGATCTGAGTTTTAAGTGTCTTTAAAAAGGAGGTCCTCAATTTGCCTGTACTTTTCGTCCATTATAAATCGACATTAACAATTGATTTTACAATCGATAGGGTTATTAGTCTCCATGTTGATTTCATATAAATGTTGTCACTATTCAAGTCACCATTTTTTGAAGAGCTAATTCTAAATTATGACAATTTTACAATTAATACAACTTACTACCGTGTTGGTACTAAGTTGTTGTTTTATATTTGTTACCATCCAGATTTTTTGCGATTATATATACTCGTATCTAGGCAGTTGCTAGTCAAGTAACTTTTGCACGTTAAATAATAGTCACGTTATTTTTAACGCATATCATACTGGAAACATGAATGGGATATCTCTAGATCGTGCCATAATCTGGCTCGTTTATCAATCTAACACCATGACGTTTGTGACAGTGGTCCTTACTTTGTCGCTTATCGTAAGTACATCTGTTGTGTGTTTCGCGTTGCACCTCATTCAAGTTATCGCTCGCCCAGTCATCACAAAAACTAGTTTAGCATACAAATCCACTAAGTGGGCGAATAACGCAACGACGAGATCAGATAGCGGACACAGCAATTACGTACGTGACACCTCGCGAGGCGCGCGAGGCGATTACATCTATGTGTACACAGCCTTAGTGTTGGGAGCGTCTCCAATTATTGTTTGCTCGGTTATGAGTCTCGTTACGTTAAAATAGAACTTTATGACCCTATTCTTTGTTTTTCACATTTATATTTACTGGTTTGTGTTGCAAAATTTTTCGCCCACCCATAGTTAGTGTCATTTAATTTTATTTGACTCATTATATGCCGCACAATAGAATATTTGCAGCTCTATGGATTTCTTTGAATTTTGATAGACATCTCGATCAAGGATAAGAGGATTTTTAATTAATGCGAAGTTAACTGTACGTAAAATGTTGCAAGTTATGGCTAAGTCGTGGGTAAAAAGCAAAGTAAATAGGTTTACAGAGGGAGGTAATATCCGGGTCGTGTCAGCGGTGCTCGCTTAGTTCGTTTGATGGGACCAGTCCATGATTACGCCGCATTTTGTACAGTTGGTCATTGAGAATTTATAAAATTGACTATATTTTACTATTATAATAAAATTATAACTGGACAACGTCTGTACATGGGAGATATTAAAGAAAAATTAGTAAGATGAATTGTTACCAAAACAATCTTTTGTCTCTTTGTTCTTACAATTATGTTCTCGAAGGTCAAACTTAAAATCTATAGCAGATTTTAAGTTTGATTTATTGTATGTTTTATTTTGAAACGCCATATAGAAGTAGTATATTTCATTAGTCGTTTTACTTCTGAAATCTAAGCTACTACCTACTACCGCTACTTCAAATAGCGGGCCAAAAGCTAGTTTTAATATAAAAATACAATAATTTTTAAGGGTTGGTAAGGTAATCAACTATTTATATATAAAATTTCCTTAAGTTTCGATTTTATATAACTACAATATAAACTATGGAAAGCAGTATCATAGTTTTGTCATAGACCCACCTAAGCTTTTATATTTTAATGTTAAAGGCGAGAGGTAATGTTGAATCGTGGACTGATCATATCTATGTAGCAATTATAATTTCAACACGGTTTTTCAAATGCTCACAAATTTAAAGGCAATTATGCATAGTTGAATTAAATTTTTAATAAAAGTAGTAACATTTGAATTCGTACAGAACACCTGTCAATAATTATTTAGGCATCCGAAATCTGTTTTCACTTTCTGTGTTGGCTGTAATGAAAAAATGACTATTCAAAAATATTTAAATCTAAGTTTACTTGATAAAAATATTTCTTTCTATCTACATTCATTGTTCTACTGTGATTCTCTTATTAATACATAACAGATTTATTCTAAAACTATCATTTAGTAATCCACCAGTATCTTCCTATAGATAGAGCGATTATCTCAAATGTAGGCAGTCAGTGGATGCAGGTGGCTTGGGATCGTTTCTTATAACAGTCTATAGGGGAGGCCTATTTTCAACAGTGGATAGTTATCAGCTGATATTATGATGATAACGTTTTAGTAAACTGTTTATTTGAAATCAGGAAGTGCAGACGCTGATCTTATGTTTCCTCCCATGAACGCTCAGGCTATGGATTGAGCTCCTTGTCGAGATTTTTCCAATAGGCAGTACGGGCTTCTTGAAAAAAGGGGTAAAGAGGTTTCTTCAGGATCGACCACGCGCGTGTAATGCCCCTGGTATTGCAGGCAGGTAGGCCATATGCTTATTTGCTACCGCAGTGGTATAAAAAAAAATGCGCATTTAATATTTTCGTTTAAGGGTTGAATAAATAGAAACAACACTTAATTTCGTCAATAGATTTATCTATATATTTTAATGAATAAATCTCAATTACAGGTGTTGCACGTTACAGTCTCTTGTCCACTTAACAAAGCAGTATTTCTTTTGTAGAAAAATCCCAAATGAACATTATCTTAATACAATCAAATCGCTGATGTTAATATATGAAAAATACTAAGTTACAAACGGAAGTTAGAACTGTGTTTACGTATATTATACGTATACGGATTTGATTTACGAATTAAACATGTAATGCGCTTAAATTTAATGAATTCCATGGAAAATTATATTCATTTTATAATTATATATTTTGTATTTTAACTACAATTTATCAACTATATATTACAAACTTTAACTTACAGTTAGATTTTTCATCAATCGTTTCATTGTACGCCCGTCCAATTATTGCTCTCAACCTCTTTACAATAGTGTCGGCTGATTTATTTTTATAATTAATTTTGAAACACATACCTCGTATATTTATTTTAAAATCTGTAGTACATTTTATAATTTGAAAGCAACAATTGAACGAATGATATCTTCACAGCACAATTGACAAAACATATTTTCAAAATATGTCTATTAATTAGTAAACACGTAAATATTATACCTTACAATTGTATTTACAAAATAAAGCAATATTATATAATTACTTTGTTATATAAGTGGGAAATGAAAGGAGTCCAACATCTTTCGACGAATAATTTGTAGTAGATTTGTAATGTTATGTTTTTTTTTTTAGAAAAAGTTTAAATTTAACCAAATAATATTTTATCGACATATAAAATACATGAACAACTACAAAGCTAGGCAATAAAAATTACATAATATTTTAAAACTATCCATTATAACCGCGTGGTCTCGGCATTAAATGGGCTACCCCTTTCTTTCTCGTGGGTGTCGTAAGAGGTGACTAAGGAGGGCGAGGGTGCCCATATCTCCAGCAGCGCCCTTCTTAAAACATCTCTAAAGCCTAATTGCGGTTGCCATCCAGCTGCCAAGCGTGGCAACTACTGGCAAAACTCCCCAAGAGGAGGCTTATGTTCAGCAGTGGACAGTTAAAGGCTGATACGATCAATCTTGACTCACAACACGTTACGTTTTACTACTATAAAGTAGAACTATTATTTACACTGTAGCTTTATCGAAGAGAAAAAAGTTATTTTAATTAGTAAGTACTAAAAGATATTATTATTTTATTGTTATTATAAACTTTCCCTTACATCCCTTTTTTATGTAGTCCCAAAATTGTTCAATTCTGAGAAATGACTTGTCATTTACTAGACTAACAGAAATTTCTTTTACTAAAAGAAATTGAATGAAAATAACATAGTTAAAAAAAAAAGATATTATTATAATTTAATTCTTGGCGATAGGACTATTTAAAAAAAAAAGTACACTACAATGAAAAAATTAAACAGTACAGTATCGTGAGCGAGTTCTATTTTTAAAATAACTATTTCCTTTCCTATTATTAACGTTTAAGGTCTTGTTATCTAATTTAGGAAAATTGCAATATTTTTTTATTTATTCCCTCTTAATTTGGATCATACATAACAGAAGCATCCTTTGAGGGAGAGTTGTACTAGTGAAACTAAACATTTTTAGAGAAATATAAGTCGAAAAATAATACTATCATACTGCATTGACTCTGTTGGTAAAACTAATTTCTTTTGTTTTTAGATTCATCATTTTCTGGAAAAATGTTTAGTCTACTGTTCGGAAAAATATGTTTCATTAATTAATTCAAATGATTTAGAGTTCACGTTGTTTACTAAATAGACTTATAAAGATTCGTACTGAAAGATTATTACGAGTAGAACAAAATTTATACTTTCATATTTTTATTACATTCATATATATTTAAATTTATTTTCGTGACTTACGTACTATTTACCTGTAATCGCGTTACATTAAGTTTCGTAAATAAATTTAAATAAAAACAATTTGTTAATATGAAGTCATGTCTACAGCAAGATTTGTCGAGAGATGCTGGAGTTACACTATCACTATTGCAGTGGAGTATCTATGAGTATCTACTTGTGTTTGATACTACATGTGGATAGGTATTCGATGTTGGATCTCACGCTGAATATTTGTAGCAAGACCCTTACTTGGTGCTCATTTCGATATATACAAATTATATTGCATTTCGTACCCCTTCATTGTCATTGTGTCTTGCGCATATCTGATTTTAGAGCGCGCATACTAACTGGACTTTGTAATGCTTGCATTACACGACAAATTTCAAATTAATTCATCTTACATATGCCAAGAAATTATAAGTGACTTAGCATTGATTATTATATAAATATTTTTCTATAAATCGTTGACTGAAATTTTGATACTTTGTGGTAAAAACATCACAAAACCAAAATATGAAATGGCTGACGGTAACATTTGTGTATTTCTCCTAATGAACTTATTTTGAAAGAATAAGAAAATATTTAAAACGTTCCCTTGTGCGACTTTATATAAGATTAAAAAATCTGAATTTCGTAAATATATTACATTTCGCCCGTTTCGTTACATACTTATAAAATTTCTTGAAATTTGTCAGGTGATGCAGACTGCCAGTACGAAGTGTCGATTTAGAGGCAGTCATCAGTCTAGTGGCGCTTTAGGGATAATACTGGCAGACAAAAAGGCAAATTTATTAGGATTTGAAAATTAACTTTACATAATGAAAGAAAGTGAGAGAACATATGTTACCGGTATGTGTATTGTACGATGCAATACTGTACGACGCGACCGAATTACAACTTTTCGCTGCCACTCTGACGATCTTAATTCTGCTACTGGCGCCACTACAATTATCACTGCCTCTATTGTTTTACTGTAATTTCCTACTAGCGACATCTAGATTCTACATTCATTATGTTAATCTTTTCATTTGTTCTTTTAAATAATCCAAATCTGAATAATACTCATTTGTACTAAATAGTACTGTACTAATACTTTACAAGATCAATTTATACTATAATTATAATCCAGGTGTTTGAAGCATTTATTTTTTTGTGACTCCTATAATAATTTTATAGTATCAACAATCAACTTACACATAACAAATTTTGAATAGATAAAAATAAATATTAAACATTTCACGATTTTGTTGGCCTACCTTGAGAATATATAGTAATATATTTTAATTGTAAATTTCCATTTCAAATATATTGAAAAGGCCAAATTGTTTCAGGAATCTTGCTACTAACTGTGACGTATCTACGATAACTATATCTTTTGCAGAATTTAGGTCAATAATTTTAGTATAAAATCATAACAATTTAACGACAAGGGTCGATTCAACGATAAGTACATATTTTTCCAAGAGGTCTCAATTATATTTGTTCATATGGTAACGAAAAAGGTTTAAGGACAGACACGCAGTCATTTCCTTAAATTTTAGCAGGTTAAAGAAATGGATGAGTGATAGCTATATGAGTCAATATAATGGAGTCTACTGATAGAAGTATACAGCTATCGTAGATGTACGTTCAACAGTCAAACGCCCCATGAGTGCTGTGAGTGACTACATGAAGTGACGGGCAGGTAGCCGTGTCACACTGCCGTCGCCCGCACCTGACTGAACCTATCATAATCTTAACTATTTACAAACAGTATACGATTATCGACCCGAATAGAACTCGAAAGAAAAACAAAATAGGAACGATACAAAACAATGCCCCTTCGCTTCAGCGATTCCCCGATGACTTTTTGGTGTGAAGCAGGAGGCTACAATATAAATACACGCTATGTACAAGGCTACGTCACGAGTCAGTCCTGGGTTTCAACGTCGAGCCCGTTGACCATACGCTCGATGCTTTTGAGGTCGGATGCTGGCGGGGTCGAGGACGTGGTGGAGGTCGGCGCGTCGGGCGGAGGGTCTGCAGAGGCAGCTCGCGTGGGCGGGGAGCCCGCTCGCGGCCGCGCCGGAGACGAACTGAGACTACGTGCGCGCGGTGCAACCTGCTCGAACGCTGAGCCTAGCCCTGGCAAAGCGTAAGGGGCGAACCTGTGCGTTTTGGTGAGCGACGGCGCTGGGGCCGGAGCAGGGGGCGCGGGGGGCGGCGGCAGAGAGTACTGTTGCAGCAAGGGGTGCAGATTGAACAGCAAACCTGGCGGCATCTGGTGTGGGGGGAAGAACGGCGGCGGGTACAGCGACGGTGGATAGAGGTACGGCAGTAACGGCGGCTGTACCGGCGGACCGAGGGACACATCCGGCGCGGGGGATGGGCGCGAGGGTCCCGCGGGGGGCGAGGAAGCACGGGCGCCACCCGAGCACGACGAATCGGAACCAGCTTCGATGCCTTCCTCTGGCCCGGAGTCAGCGCCGCCGCCACCACTTGAACTAAACCACGCTGTAACAATATTATTACATTAGCCACTAATAAGAAATTTAATTCGATTTGTATGCGTATGTATTCGTATTGGTGGAAGAACTTAGTAAATGACAATAGCGGCTCCATTGTTAATAACAGGTATATCCCATCTGGTCAATCTCCATGTGATCCTGCTGGAACTCAAGGTGGTAATTCCTAGTAAATGTGCCATGATGAGCCGATTGACTTGATATCATCTTCAAAGTTTCATCTTACCCTGGTGGCCTGCCATTATACAATATTAGTATAAGTGGCTGCACTATTCCATTTCTGACTATTTATATCAGACTCTTCGATAATAATGGGAAACCTGAAGATTAAATGAATTCGAATGTTACATCAAACACTGCATCCTTTAGTGAACAAAATATTTAGATAAAGGTAATTTATTCAGTTAAATAAAATTCTACCAGCAGAAAAACAAATAGGTAAGTATATAATTACTTAAACATAATACTGTCTGTATGGTTAGTACTCACAACTAGTCGTGTGCTGCGTGGACGAGGGTGGGGGCGGCGGGCTGGAAGGTCCGCCGACGTCCAGAGGCCGCTCATCATCATCGTCCCGAGGGTCGGAGCGCGCCGTCAGCAGCGCCTGCCTGCGGTACACCGACAAACTACTCGTGTTATCATTGTGGCAATGGTAACCATTTGATCAGGGGGTAGGGATTTTAGTAATGCGGACTACCAGTTCCATTGCTAGCAATATACCCTGTCAGGTCGACCTCCTCGCGGTTCCCCCTGGAAACTATCATGGTTAATTCCTGATGAATTCATCATGATGGGCCAACTGGCCTGTTTTCATTCTCATCTATCACCCTTCACTGGTGCTCCGCAAGCGTATCCCGTTAGCGCAGGCGGGGTTACCATAGCATTTTCACCCATAAAAAAAATACTATTGTGTAATATTATTGTGTTGTCGATCATTTCACTGACTGATGACTTCAAAATGATGTATTTTCGATAACCACGTTATAAATTCCTTAATTAGTCACTAATTGCAAATAATTAGATTTTTTTTCTAGCAACACGACATTTGTATCGTGTGACCGATTAATAAGTTTGACGTCTATAATTGTACCCAATTAATTTTGATTTATTATTGACCTGTCCCTACCGACGCTCTTTTTCTTCTACCCATTTTTAACCGACTTCAAAAAACCAACAGGTACTCAATTCGGTTGCATTTTTCAATATTTTTTACCTCATAACTCTGTAATTTATAAACTGTTATGAATTTTTTTTATCTGAAAGGATTTTCAGATTGGCCCCATAGAAATTTTACCAAAATCGATTCAGTGGTTTAGTTCTTAGTCATTCAAGTCGGAATATTTTAATTTATGAGTATTCTCTGATGATGATGATGAATCCTGACCTATTTTGATCACGACAACCGCTTCGACTGCGCTCTAAAAATATTCATATATATATATATATATATATATATATATATATATATATATATATATATATATATATATATATATATACGAACAAACAACAAGACAATAGACATGAGCAGTATCTTGGACATAACAGAGTATACTGTTTCGCCCATGATACCCTCCATGCTTTTTGCAATTGCTTTACGGTAGAAAAACGAATGGGTCAAAAGTGCCCAAGCAAACGACTTTTGTACAAAGTCTCTGGTAGTCTCTCTGTCTTGAAAGTGTAATAATGATTCTAATACCACTTCATAAAAATCCACGATAACAGAGTATCAAGTGTTTAGCATGTTGTTTAACACAAACAAAACTGCAACAGTTTGTTGACAAAGTAAAAAAAAATATGTTAATGTACCTTATTTACTTTATTTACATTCACTGCAGATTTTAGTAACCAAGTTAGCGGATAAATTGTATGTAGCTATATATATTCAGTCAGATCGCGATTCGCAAATGGAATTAAACATTAATAACTACAACCATCACGCAAGTCTTAGCGCATTAAACTTTTTTCTTTTAAAGAAATAAAACACCAAACGAAGTAAGCTCGCGTCGCGTGCCTTTACAATGACATAGTTTGCATTTTAGCGGGCGCATCAATTGTGTGGGGTGTCAAACGGTTGACATTTCAGTAATGGGTCGCCGCGGCCCCCGCCGCCGCCGAAAGGTTAATCATCTTCTAATGATAGCACCGAAATTTGACCCTTGCACCGCCGTCGGGAATATGCGGTGCCCTTTTTCAATTTTGCTTTCAAATATTTTCCAATTCGAAGATTATTTTAAACTATCGAATACAACAGTATAAATCTTCGGGTTTTTTTTTAGCCAGCTGAGAATGGCAAACATGTTAACGATCTATCTGATGAAAAGTGATATCTGACGCCTATAACACCATAAGCATCACTGAAAACTGGAACGTCTAAGGTGTATGCGTTACTATTCCTAGGGATTAGGGAGTTATGCTTCCGTTCCCCATAATTTCATTATTATAATCGCACTCTTCAAATCGAAACATGCAAGCACAACACTTTCACATTTATAGTAGTAAAGAATCTTTTTTAATACAAGTGACAACCCCTGATGGTGACTACCGCTGCCCATGAATACCAGCAACACAAGAGGTATTGCAGGTTGCTACTGGCCTTTTAAAATGAAATACGTTTCGGAAATACTGGATAAGCTGTTATTATGCTGCTATACCTACTTTATGGTCTAAATTTTGCACTCTTATTTTCATTTTATTTTTTTATGTTTAGTGCGAAGAATTAGGATTTCAGTTAAATTTATACATAAATATTAACAATAAGGAACTATTTGAGGTATTTAACATTTAATACTTATGCTAATACGAGTATGCATACATTTTAAACCGGAATGAACCGCAAAATACACACACGAAGATTCAAAACGGTCACCCTAAAGAGAAACAAAATGCCAGAGCAATTATTTGCCTTCTGTCACCCTATAAAACAAACAACTGTTTAACATTCGCATTGTTTTACGAAACCCTAAACGCGTATCTTCATCCTATCTCGTAAGGGTACTGATTGGGGTCGCACTAAATTCATTTTATTAACTCGTCTCATCGCCGACTGATAGAATTTAATTTGCGCCACCCCTACAATTTAGGGTTGGCAATTTCCAAATGAAAAAGATGTTTCAATTATATTTTAGTTACTAGCTTCTACCCGCGATTTCGTACAACTAGATTTTGGATATAACGTTTATTAGATTTTAAATTCCTTCTGAAAGAGAATTATGAAAACCGTATCCAATTAGTTGCAGTATTTTTTATGTGATGTCGAAATAAACATACTGATAGACAAAAAAGTAAAAATAAATATTGTTTTTGGTTCTATTGCTCTTACTAAATACCCCCATCATCCTAAATTTATAAATATTTCTTATGTATCATCTAGTTACAATTTTAATACATGTATATACATATATGTTGTAGTCAAAACTCTTAACCAGTCAAAAGCACTATTGACTAGCAAAATTAGTGTGGTTTTGACTGAAAATTATTAGTTATTAGTACTTTTGACTGGTTAAGAGTTTTGACTGCAACATATATATTAAGATTATTTAGGAGAAATTATGACACTGAATAGTCTCCGTTTGAAACTAGACTTTGATATTTTTATCTAAATTGTTGTAACAGTCGGTCTCGTTAGACAGTTTTAGTACGATTTCATTTTCTAATAATGATTCAATGAATGCTTATGGAATGCAAGTTATGGATTTTTACCAAGTTGTCATGTCGAGTTTACTGACAATCGGCTTTCGCTGTTTAACCACGCGTAATGACACGCCTTTTAGATAATTAATATCAAATTTGTCAATTTGTTGATGATTATTTTTAATGAGACATAGATTTCATACTACTCAAGCAATTCTATACTTTTCAAAGATATCTGATTTGATCAAAGTTTCGAGAACTATTCTGTTTAATGTCCATTTGTTATATATAATACAAACTATATACCGCTACTTTGACCGTGTGAATTAGTATTTAATGTATCTTATTTATTTATTTATTAGTACAAATATGTGTACATGGCGGACTTAATGCTAAAAGCATTCTCTCCCAGTCAACCACAGGGAAGTGTCAGAATACTCGAATGCGGTACAACTAATTATTGATATACATACATACTAAAATTATATATATAAACGAATAAATATATATGAATAACAAATATATGATATATACTATACACATATTGATAATACTATATTATACACGAATTTGGTAATAATATAAAGCACTTATTGCTCGGATAAAGATAAAAAGTGAGCGTGAACGTTTTTTTTTGAAATCTTATGTGTTAAGTTAGGATATAGTTCTACGCGGGTACCAAATTTCATACAAACCCTTTCAGCCAATTAAACGTGCTTTCAAATTCAAATAACTTTACAAACTTTTACACTTATATTATTAGTGGGATTCATAAATAAATCTTCCATTTATAATTTTTTATTATTTAACATTTTGCCAACCCTAATTTAAACTGTCCACATTAGGGTATTCGCGTTACAATGTAAACTGTCGATGCAGGGGTGGCCCGCCTTGTAATTTTGCCAAATTTTTACCCCCGACGTGCGGTTAGTTCGTAACCCCCGCAGGAAAGCTTTTTATCGACGCTATTCTGCGGCGAGACAAGGGATGTTTATTAATAAGGTGTTGTGATTCTTGTCTTTTTGCCAAGGAAAATTTACGATACACTCGTGGTTTTTAGGGTTCTGTAGGTAACTAGAAATATTTCATATTAGTTTAGACATCGTCTGTTTGTCCGTAAATTATTTAAAAAAAGTAAATTTGATATTTATAAGCACTTTACATGAAAGTGGTGAACTCTCGAGTTCAATCATAACAATAAGACTATTTATTCTTACGGTTCATCATACTTTTTCAATTTCGAGTGTGGATTTTGAATATGGTATCTACTATATAAATGCGGAGAGAAAGGGATTGTTAGTAACAGGGAACTAATTGCCCCATTGCTAGCAATATATTCTATTCTTCAATATATTCTTCACGTAGTTTTCCTCTAAATCCATATAGTTTTTTGTTGTTGAATTCGTCGCGATGGGCTAATATATCACCCGGGGGGGGGGGGGGGGGAAAGGGATTGTTAGTAATATCTATAGACTGAAAATTCCATTGCCAGCAATAACCTAACCAGGTCGACCTCCACGCGGTTCCCCCTAGAAACTATCACGATTACTTCCTGATGAATTCATCATGATAGGCTAACTGGCCTGTTTTCATTCTCATCGATCACCCATCACTGGTGCTTCGCCAGCGTATCCCGTTAGTGCAGGCGGAGTTACCAATCCATTTTCATCCAACAAAAAAAAAAATATATCACCCGTCACTGGTACTCTGCCAGCGTATTCTGATAGCGCAGGCGGGGTTTATAATATTATCATCTATTAAAAAAAAAATAAAATAAAATACAATATTATAGGATACAAGGTGGGACTTACGACGTTTGACCACGTAGTTAGACGTCTTAATTAGAGCTACACTGCGGTAACAAAGGGCGCGGTAACGGCGAACTGAACGGGATCAAAGCGGTACCTTCGGTGCCGTAGCGGAAGGCATGCGGTAATGCGGTCACAGACAATATCCAACGGGGAAAATGACGGCGTGCCCGCCATGGCACAGGGTTGCCGCGTCGATATAAAGCAGATGTAAATGTAGTCAGGAAGTCTTTGGATGCAGGTGGTTCAGTACCATTCCTTATGATAGTCTATGGGGAAGACCATGTTCCATAGTGGCCAGATAACCTTACCCTATTGGGGGGTTGCCTGGAGTCGTTCTACTTGGCAGGCGGGTTGACAACCGCAGTTAGGTTTTGGTGATGTTTCTAGAGAGACGCTGCTGCCTATCCCTTGATCATAAAATTTTCTTAGTAGACTTTTACAACACCCAGTGGTAAGAAAGTGGAGCCCATTCTTTGCTGAGACTACACAGCAATTGTGTGAATATGGCAGAGAAATTACTGAGTACGGAGTCATAATACTACAGTCCTCAGAAATGGCATCACGATCGAGTATCATGGGTATCACATTGTATTCTGTGGTATGGACTTAGGAATGGCAGCGTGACGGGTGCCATGAGTATCAGTGTATTTGGTGATGTATGTACGTATATTCGTTCATATGACTTCGTTCGTTCTGGTGACTTGTAACACAGGTTCTTCTAAACCTACCGCAAGCACCAGTCTCTCACAAAACTGGTCTTCATTTCAAATTGTACCTGATGTTGTTACTTTATTCCACCTTTTGTGAAGAGAAAATAAACCATTCATTCATTCATTCATTCATATTTATAAGCGACGGTTACTGTTTTTTATCATAAATCGCCTTGTATCTATATTGTTGCTACTTGTGAAAACCTATTAGTGGCTTATTTTGTGATCCGAAACTGCATCTTTTTGCTCTAGTGTAGCCCTGGTTTTCCTATGAATAAATAAATAAATAAAAAAGTTTTAATTAATTTTAACTAAATTTCGTCAAATTTTTTTTTGAAACAGACTACATTATACTAGCGACCAGCGATGGTTTCGCACGCGCACGTACAAAACATTAAAAGTTTAATTAGGATGTGTCGGAGATAACATATAAATCTTTAGTAAAAAAAAAAATACCAATTATTCACGAGTGGTCATGATGCGAATGTGAAATTAATCTAGTTAAACATCGACGAAAGGACATATAAGTGATCTAGTAACCTAATCTAGTAAATCTATTGCTTATACAGTTCTACTTATATTATAAAAGTGAACATTTGTAAAAATGTTTGGATATTTGTCATTAAATTACGCTTAAATGACTGAACGGATTTGAGTAAAATTTGATATGCGGTTAAATCCTAACTTAATACATAGGAAACTATGGAATTAGGCACACGGGCAAAGCCGCGATTTGTTAAATATGGCGAGTGCTTATAAAACTTACATATATATATCTGTATGTATGTATCTATCTCATTTACCATTTAAATAATAAAAAATAGATAACAATGTCCTTTTTTAAAAATCACTAAAGGCCTAACTGCGATCCACAACTCGCCTGCCAAGCGTGGCAGCTACTGGCAAAAGCCATTTTATGGGAGAAGCCTATGTTCAGCAGTGGACAGTTACCGCCTGATATGATATATAAAGACAAAGTAAAGAGGTAATAATATAATAATGTATAATAATTTTATGTGCTAAATTGTCATATAAAAAAGTGCTATTTTTCATTCTAGTATTCAGATATTACAAAACACTACTTGCTCTAAACTCTACACAATTATTAAAACAGTTTCGTGATAACCCTAAGCTTCTGTGTCCTTATTTTCCCCATTCATGCCGTTTATAAAACGCTCACGTTTCCCGCGCTTCCTCCGACTGCCGGCCATTTTGTAAAGATGAGTCCAGTGTCCGGCTCGCTTCAGGAACGCACCGCGAACCCATCCGGTGAGAAATTTTATTTAACTGAATTAAATATACTTTCCGGTGTCGGATGTTGATATATGTTATACAGAAGGGAGTTTTCCGAGTGTTAAAAAACTCACCTACTTTTAATGAAAAGCAAATGATAAAAGTCGGTTTGGGTTATACGTGAAATAAGAACATGGATCGTTTAAAGTGAAAAGGGTCGGTATGCGATGTGCTTTTAATTTTTCACAGACATTATTGCTTTATTTTATTTTACATACATCCTACTAGTATTATAAATGCGAAAATTTGTGAGGACGGATGAATGTTTGTTACTCTTTCATGCAAAAACTACTGAATACATTTCAATGAAATTTGGTAAGTGGGTAGTTTATATCCTAATTTAACACGCAGGATACTGAATTAGGCTGGCAAAGCCACGGTATCTCGTTGCTTTGCCAGCGTAATTTGTAAGCGGTTGAAATCGAAATCAATAGAACATGTTCTAGCAGCGAAATGCTCAGGTTATATAAAGAGCTCTCTGTCGAGGTATTTCCAAGAGACTACACCATGGGGTTCTTCAAAAAAGGGATAAAGAGGTTCCTTTAGCGTTAGCAACGCCCGCGTAATGTAAAGTTTTATAGGCGTTTATTGGCTACGGTAACCGCTTATCATCAGGAGGATCGTATATTTGTTTGCCATCTCAGTACTATATAAAAAATAACATTTTTTCTAAAGAAATATGGTTAAAAAAAACATGACACCCATACCATGACATGTGGACATATTGTGCTAATGTGAGGGACTAAAATTTTGTTATTCGCTCCACGTTCCTTTGGGAAAAACGTGCAGTTACACTGATTTGCTTAAAATAATGCTAATGAGTAGTCATCTCACTGTGTATATATTATAATTCAATTTAAGAATTGAATATAAAGAATACGGCACCCCTGTATTTTGCGTGTATTAAATAAGCGCGTTCTTCCACAGATCCACTGCTTACCCACTAATTGAGTTCTCCTTCGAATTTCAAACAAGTTAACAGAACGCCAACCTATCCCTACGGCGGCGGGCGCTAGCAAATTATGCGGTGAAGAAAAAAACTAAAGCTGATTTTATCGCGGAAATCCAATTTTCTCCCTTGCACGCTAAAGACGCTGGAAAAAAGCGCCAAGTCGAATGACTCCACCATTTTGAGCCGTTACCCGCCATGTTTAAACTCTGAACACGAATAAGGAGGCGCCGGATTGGTTTAATTTGAATTTCGAACGGCGCCGGGCGTGTTGGCAGCGCTTCGTTCGGAAATGTCTGCGCTTCGTGGCCTAATTAATTTGAAGATTCACAGATAGGACGCTAATTTAGTTAGCTTTTAACTTTAGTTAAACAGTCGGCAGTTTTTACAGTCGTTAATCTTTCGGGCGCCTTTTGGTTATGGATACCACCTACAACGCTTCTCAGTATAATGTGTTACGGAATTAAAATTAAAATTTATTAGGTACTTATATCAAAGCTGCATTGTTGAAATAGATTTATGTTCTATTTACGGCATATTTTCGCGTGTTTTATAACAAACAAGCTCAGCTGTTCAAGTTTTATCACATTTCGTTGATATTATTTTTTTAATACCACTGAGGTGCCAAGCAAAGCGCGCGGCCCAGCTGATGGTAAGCCTATGAATGACTGCAATACCAGAGCCATTACACGCGCGTTGCCGGCTTTGAAGAAATCTTTTTACACCTTTTTTGAATAACCCCATGCTTTAGTCTCTTGGAAAAATTCCGACAGGAAACTTATTTCATAGATAGATAGATACTCTTTATTGTTTCCTCCAAAAGATTACAATAGTAAACTTATTATAAATATAAACAATTACAAGAAATAATCACAATGAGAAAACAATGGGCGACCTTATCGCTAAAAGCGATCTTTTCCAAGTAACCTTTGGATGAATAATATCCATAACTAGAGCGGTCGTAGGAGGCAACGTGTAAAGTATTTGACAAAACTTGTAAGTCATAAAATTTTATGTATCTAAGGGTAGTTGTAGATATCTATTAATTTCAATGGTGGGGTAAAAAAAAGAAACGTGCATAAGTGACTAAAAATGTTCTATGAGTAAATGATTTTGATTTTTTGCAAGATCACTCACGTACAGACAAAGAGAATCTCGAGTTAAAGATACATCATGTCTATTGACTACTGATATTCTCTTTTGTTAATTATTCCTAAGATGATTATGGTCTAGTCATTAGCCCACCTAGACAAGTGGCAAGCGAATCCATCGATGGAATCATGACCCAAAGTGAGTCCATGAGTTGGAATGAAACATCCGAGTTGGCCATCTCATTCTATCTCATGGACTCGCTAGCAATTTCGAATCCATCGACGAATTCGCTCGCCATTTGTCTAGAGGGCTTTGTGTATTATCGATGCAAACTTTATACAGATTTATAATCATTCATGAGTTACATAATTGAATATGTATATTTTACCCTTTCAACATATGAAGGCTAGAAAGCCTTACCTACATTTTTTATTTGCATGCATTTACTTTTTTGTTCTGCCATTTGTCACAACATGACAGACAATACATTATGTACTCATGACTGTAAGGGTATATCCACATGGTGATTTTTCGCTGCGTAGTTTTTCCGCATTCGCATGGATAGATTAGTTACGGACTTTTTCCAGTTTTTTTTACTGTGTATATAGCGTTATACATGTTCATACAATAAAGAATTGTATGTAATATATATCAAAGGTTAGATACTTACTTTTTCTCCCGTTTTCCAGCACCAGTATCCCGGAAGCCTTTCGCGAAAGGGTTGTTATCAATCTTCAATTGTGTTATCTGGAACAAGTGTTTTGATTAAACCACAGATTATTTATAAGGTCTCACAACTAAAAGAGGACTTAAATATGCCTTTCGTTTGATCATAAAGTTTAAAAAAAAGAGTTAATCTTTAATTCCAAGTTCGTATTCTTTATCACATTATCATTATCACTATCAGCTCACTGCAATCTACTGCTGGACATAGGCACGCCATATACTTTACGTTGTGGTGAAAATTTAAGAAAGATATTTGTAGATCGAAAAATGAAAATTTAACGGAAAGCTTTACATTCTTTTTTTTTTAACTTAGCGACCCGTTTTATTTGAAAAAGTTCAATTTTACTAGTAGAACTTTATTTTAAAAGAAACTTGTTACATATTTATTTAATTCAAATCTTTGTATTAATACATATTTCTTTAATACTATAAAATCTATTACGTAACAGCCAATCCTTAAGATTACGTTTAAATATTCTACTAGTATGAGTTGCCATTTCTCTGATATTTTTTGAAAAATTATTATATACTTTAATAAATATACAGTACGAGTTCCTTTTATATAAATCCAATCGAGTTATTGGTATAAACGAGTATAATTTGTCGTTAGCTCTAGTAGTACTTAGTTGTAGTCGAGTTTGAGTTTTTATAACATAGTTACTAGTTGTTTTACAAATATACAAAGGTCTTATTTGCACATTCATGGTATTTCTTAAAACGTGGATGACAATTTTCTATGATTGCAATAGATACATATATATTTATGTGTTTGTATGCTTTTGTATATTCAATTATAATATATGTAAATATTAGGTTATAATAAAAATGTTTTAATACAAATGAGGAGAAATATTCACAGTGTATACACGCTCTTACCTTTTCATTTTGATAAGCCGTGACGGCGATGAACTCGGTCTCCTTGAAGACGTAAGTGCGAAACGTGCTGTAGGGCAGCTTGAGGATGTCGTTGGCGCGCACCAGATGAAATCGCGGCTGGTACTTGTGCATCGAATTGAGGATCGTCTGCGTAACACACTTTAAACAGCTTAGGAACTTGACCAAGTTATCACTAATTACAGAATAAGATAATAGTCTATGGCCATTGATGTATGTTACATAAAAAATATAGGTATTTATTATAGTACAAAAATTATAATAAATACTATTCCTGAATATAAATGAGTGTAATTTTTGATGAACGTACTCTATTTTCAACAGCTTTTCAGCTTATATTACAGAAATAGTTGCTTCTCGCCGCTTTGCCCGCGTGAATTATAATAAAACATTTTAAGACATGGCGGATGTAACAAATTTCATTGAAATACATTCCAACATGATTGACTAACAAACATCTAAATATTATGCCATATTAGTAGGGTAATAGTTGGAGAAAAAAGTGTGGTTAAAATTTGCAATGTATTACAAATGCAAAAGAATTCAAATTTCATTATCAGTAAGTTTTTTACTTATATACATGAGTAGAGCTATTCCTTTAAAATATCAAAAACAGAAACTTACGTAGGTATATTGAAATTTTAAGGATATATTGAACTATATTCTAAATTAAATATATTAAACCACCTTATTCATAAAACGTCAAATCTATCATAAGCCTATTTTAGCTATTGAACGCTTTGTTTCTTATACACTAAATTGTCAATTTGAAAAAAAGTGACAAAACACTGTAATAGTTAAATTTGGAATTATTTTTGTAGAAGGTTTTAGCTTTAATGAATAAGGGGGTAAGTATTTAGACAATAAAATGATAGATTTTTTGAAGTGTTGCCAGAAATAAATTTTTAAATTACTTCCAATTTCAAAAATGAAATTACCAGAAACAATAATTAATTCTAAATACTGTAATTATATCACCACTCAGTATGAATTAGTCGACATTAAATAAATATTTTTAAATATCTTAATCTGTGATCGTTGCTTTGTGCTTCTTTGTTGCTTGTGATGTTGCCTTCTTATTAAAATATAAAGATTTTGAATCGTTTTAATTCTTCGTCAAAATATTAAAAGTGGGACATCTAAATTACACGTATCATTATCATATCAGCCTTTAACTGTCCACTGCTGAATGTAAACCTTTCTTATAAGGGCAGTTTTGCCAGTAGTTGCCACGCTTGGCAGACGGGTTGGCAACCGCAGTTAAGCTTTTAGTGATATTTTAAGAGGGACGCTACTGCCCATCCATTGTACATGTATATATACCTAAAAGAAATAATACTTTTTGTTAAAGATTTTTTATTTTAGAATAAGATATATTTTTTTGCTCTTATGTACGAATAAGTAATAGATAAAAAAGAATGTTTGTATAATATACATACAAATTACAGATGTATGAACCTAATAGTTTTAAAGTGTAATATAACTAACTAGTATATGAAAAGAGAATGGTTCTACCCATTGGATTGATTAATTGCAGCCATAACCCGCACACGACGGAGTAAGCAATCGTTATGAAAAATAAGAATTACCGAGTCGGCCAGTTTCTATAATTTATTTATTTTTTAAATTACTCCTACTGTAAACAGCGGCGCTCTCGCTCGTTATGAAATTAAACTTATATTATTTAGTTGTTTGGAATAGTTTGTCTGCGTGGATATAATTATAAAACATTTTTACATAGGTGGTCTTATTAACATAATCTTCCTTTTTACTTATAAAATTGTTTGTCTAGACTATCACTCCATAGCCAAAACTACGAGTCTAGAAAGCTGAAACTTTGTAACATAGGTAGGTTTATTGGTAAGCAACCGCTAAGAAAGGATTTTTGAAAATTTCCACTTAAAATATAGATAGAGTATTGTCATCTGAATTTAAGAGTACTTATAATTCTTTAGAGGAATAATTTGATTATTTTGAAGGTACATTTGTGGATAAAATGTTAACAAGAAAAATAGATTTACAAAGGGTAAATTTTCAATCGACTGCAAAAAGAAGGAAGTTCTCATTTCGGTTGTACTCCTTTTAATCTTTATCTGAAAGAATAAACTTACAGATTGGTTCCATAGAAATTTTATCAAAATCAGTTCAGAAGTTTAGTTTTTAAACCAAAATAAGTGGTTTTACGAGAATTGAAGTAGATTTTTACTTGAACACACTCTTATAATTCTATATTAGTATTTTTTTTACAATAAGCATGAGGTGATTCAAATATTGAGGTGAATTGATAAGTGTAGGTAAATGGACAATATTACTAAAAAAAAAAAAGTATTTTTATTAATTTAAAATAAAACTTGATGCCGTCGTCTGGTGTCAAAATTTTTTAGGCTCCATTATAAGCGAAGGTCTTTGAAGTCTGTTAAGAAATAATCATGAAAATATGTAGATAATTCATAAAGATATTTTGATAGATGATGCTTTCCGTCAAATGTGCAGTCAGCTTGTATGCGATTCTAAGTTGCATAAATAAACATACTGTGTCTACGAAAATGCTAATAGGTAAAAAAAAAATACAAATTATGTTTAAATCCAGTCTGTGATAAATATTCTAACATAGACGGTAACAATGTTAGAAAATGAGTACGTTCCAAACAAGTCACATGGATGGAATCCCAGATACAGTATGTTGAATATTTGATAAACATCTGCTCATTACTGGGGCAAAACCTTCCACTTAATAACTTGTGACCGAAGCTAGCAATCATTCCGTAAACCAAATTAGATGTAATTTTGAAATGCACTCCGATGCCTTTGACAATATTATGAACATTGCAATATTCTGCAGTAGAGAGCAATTATATATAATAAAGCAGAACTATGGAATGTATGTATATTTAATTTTATCATTTTTTTCACAGAAAAGTTTATATGTATCTATTTTTTCACATAGATGATGATGATGGTGAAGGTGCGTTAACTACAGCGGTTTGTCGAAGGTTTTGGCAATGATAACTTTAAGGTTTTTCCTAAAAAATATCGATTAAAATTTCTGGTACGAGAACTTCAATAATAATCATCAAAATAGATTTTTTTTTATTTCAATTGATGAAAATATTAAATAATTCATCAGTAAAAAAGTAGGTTTGTTGAAATGCAAGTGGAAACGTTAAAAATATTCATACATTTTAATATTAACAGTCGAATTTTTATGACTTTGTTTTCTCAATTTTTTTTTCTTTAATTTCTAAAACAACACGGCTTAATTTTTTTATTTTTGTTTGTATAGATATCTATGCGATATCTTGGCTATTTCAAAACCAAATTTGATGATTGTTCTTTTCAATCGAAAATAATAGTTATCGTGTAGGTTTTATCAAGATTTAATGTAGGAAACAATCTTATAATTTTAATTGCTTCGTAAATTATTTCGTAATAGTTACGAGTACACATTTTTTTTTCAATCCACGTTGGGTAGGCATCTTGTCATAACAAAATGTAGTTTCCAACAAATAATATCGGATATTATAAAATAATAATGCGCAAATGTATCAATTAAGGCGTGTCTAATAAAACTCAAGACAATTTAACCTGGTTAATAATAAAAATTGCGGTTCATGACTACGGGCGTCGACGGGTGAGGGCAGACACCGTGTCATTAGCCCCACTATTACATATTGAATGATGCATAGCTGATCGGGACCTTACACCAAGGTGCTTGTTATTGGAAATCATTACGGAATTGCAATGCTAATTGTATGAAATAATAGAAATGTTACAATAATTTTCTAGAGAACTGAATTGTTTTAATTTGGCTTTGAGCGTTCTGTCGTCATATAGTCTGTTCCATTCGTGTTTCTACTGTGAATCAGTCGTGTTTGCATGGCTATGTTTCGGTTTGAAGGATGGGATATGGCGTGAATTTACAGGGTACAGAGGAATAACACCTGAGTCCTCAGGAATGGCAATGCATGGGGGGTATCATGGGCGAAACAGTATACTCTGTTATGTCCATGGTACTGCTCATGTCTATAGGCGACGGTTACCACTTAACATCAGGTGGGCCGTTAGCTTGTTTGCTATTCTAAGTTGTATAAAATAAAATGGCATTTAGGTATACAATTTTAAATACTATAATATTATTTATGGAATTTGAGCGCGAAGAATGTAAAGACAATAGAGAAGTTCCCAGTAGCGATCCTACAGAAGTCAATACGATGTACGGTGACTGCCCGCAGAATTCTCCAGTAATGAGAAGTGATGTTTCCAAATATATGATTATAAAAGCTGCCAGTACGTAAACAACAAATTACCATTTATAATTGGAACTTCAAAACGGAGAATACGAGGAAGTCCAATTATTAATTTATTTATGATGATAGATGGTCTTTGGACACCTTCAATCAATTCCATCAATAGATGGAGAATAATTTTCTGATAAGTTCTTTATTGTTAAATCACGTGTAGAAGTCTACATTTCGTCTTAGTCAATAAGTTACGAGTATGTTCTACGCGAGCGTAGCCGCAGGCAAGGCTTGTCTATACTAAAATTATAAAAAAGGAAAGATTTGGTTGTTTGTTTGTAATGAATAAACTCAAAAATTACTCAACTGATTTTAAAAACTCTTTTATGTATATAAAGCTATATTATCAGCAAGTAATACAGGCTATTAATATAGTCTACATATTATATTATTTTCCAAAAGTCATTAAATCTCTAGAATCATATAAAATCGAGTTTTGGTAATAATTAATAATAAAACAAATTAATTATTATGATTACGACTTTACTCATAAGAGTCGAAAGGCTAGATAGATTCTATGTATTTAATTCAAGTCCATGCTATAACAAGAGTCGAACAAAAACATTGCCACAACCTACTTACTTACCTACTAGGAGCTATATAACAAATTGTCTCTTCCTTGTGTAATTCCACTCAGTTAACTCCAGTAGGTGAAGGATCTAATCTTCGGGCCATCAAGTAAATTGTCATTTGGACCGAAAAATAGCCGATAAAATCCTTTTTGTTTCAATTAATAGGGTTACCACCCGTCCGGATATTTACGGTTTGTTCCCATTATAAACATTTTTCGAGTTTAAAATTGAATAAATAGAAGTAATTGAAAGAATATAGATATCAATGTTA